CCTTGCCATATTCCATTCCATTTCCTAATAACGGGAGTTGAGTTTTACGACCGTCGTCTCCAAATGCATGAATATTTTTCCGAGGCTCAGCATTTCAAAATTCCTCTCTCAGAAGCTTAATAAATAATCCACACGCTGAAAGGAAACTTCGGACAACGTTTCGGTCTGTCCTCGTTCGTTATGAAATCACAACTGAGCGAGTTAAAACAGATTAACCCAGAAGACAGCTATTGTTTGGATGGTAAATGTTTCCTGTTCTGGGTCACCCTATAGTCGTGGGAGACGGCAGATGTAGTAAAAAAATATACTTCTATAAACCATGTATTACTGCCCACAGGATGGGTAATGGATGCATCACGAGTTATGAAACAAACTCATCAAGTTTGGCAGTCTGCGCCATCCTAGGTTTCTTCCTTCCTTATAAATCACCTAACTGAGTACGTCTGTAAGCCCCTCACCTCCAGGGTAGTGTAGACAGCCTGTACTGTCTGCACAGACAGCCCATGCTGTCTGCCAGCTCAGTTCATATTTCGCGCCATGCTGGTGCTGCCACCTATAGGCCTTGCCACTTCAGTATGCCCAGACTTGCCTCTCTCTCACTCACACAGCGGCCTAGCAGGAAGACACAAGGCCTCCCAGCTCTCTCTCGTGGGATAGCCCTGCCCATGCCATGGGCACAAACACACAAGCCTGTGTACCCACCACGACTTAACAATAAAGTAAGAAGCCTCCGAAGACGTATAATTCACACCCAGCTTTCAGCTCTACAAAACAAACTCATTAAACATTGGTAGCAGCGGTGGTCGCAGCAGTGTGTTTGCCCAGAGAGAGGAAGGAAGGAGAGGTATGAAGTCATCTTCACTTCATCACCCTATACAAGAAGCATCCGTCTCTCAGCGAGTTATCCTGATGTCGTGTCTGCACGTTTGAGCATCCAGACACAGGTACAAGCAGGATCCAGCCGAAATTTGCCGAAATTCTCCGAGAATTGTAAGTGACCCCACGCTACAGCGTCCCACGCTGTTTCTCAAGTCATGTGTTCAGCATCACTTGTATGTTGCTGTTTTGTTCAGCTCAGCACAGCTGTTTCAGCAAGCCAGAGGTGAGTTTTGTGGCGATTTCTGCGTCCAGTGTGAGTTCTCCACGTGCTTGTGGGAGGAGGAAGTGGCAGCTCCTTGCCTCACCCTGCTGTACTCTCACACTTCACCAGCCTACCATACACCACTCACCACTGCCCACTCCCTCTGCTGTGTTTTCTGCTGTTTTTCGTGTGATTCATTGCCAGAGCTGTGTATCCGAGTGCCCGAGGTCACTCGAAGCTACGTGGATCAGTATGCCACGTAGATCACGACACCACGTGGATCCCAACGCCACGTTGGGTGTGGGCGATGTCACGTGGATCTACCAGCCACGTGAGTTACCAGATGTCCCAGGCCACATGCTGTGGTCTCCTGCCCGCATCACATTGACGTCACCCACGATGGTGCCCGACTTCATGACGTCACGATGTCTGCCTGACGTCACCTCGAGATGTCTGCTGACGTCACAGTGCTGCTGACGTCACCTCGCGACATTACGCCTGACATCACATGATGTCACCATCGAGTGTTCAGTAATTATTTCAGTATTGTCGAGAAGATTGAGAGAAAATATATGTCGTGTGTTAATTAATTCCTCTCAGTCAGTGTTCTCACATTTTAGTATATGTCTTAGTGTCAGTTTTATGCACAGAAAAGCATCATTTGCTAGTTTAAGCCATGTTGTACCGCGGTGTTTTTAAAGTTTTCGTGTGTCCAGTGAGGTCTGAGCCAGACCTGAGTAGCACCACTGTGTTAAGTCATCCGTGTGACCAGTGTGTTTGACAGCTATCAGACAGCCCTGAGCCCAAGCCCTCTTGTACAGAAAGCTTTTATGCTCGTCGCTCGTGATGTTCTGCAGAATCGTACCTGCTACGATTCCCATCGAGATTTGTTTCACTTCACCTCCAGACCGTCAGAGTGCAGTTATATGTAGAGAAACAAGTCTGGGGACGCTTAGACTAACCTCTGCTATAACTCCAACTGTTGAGAGAATGACACACTGTGTCAGCCTCATGTCACAAGCTTCAGTGAGCAGCCTGCACAAAGAAGATGTCACTTTGACTGCTAGCTCTCTCACTGCAGTCTGGTTTATGATGTTACGACTCCCAGATGTTTCGCCCAGTCGTCTCTGCCACGACTCGCTCCACAACTCGCTCCACGCTCGCCGGCAGTGACAGCCCAGCGACAGTACCAGTCGAGAAGTGTCCTCCTGAGTCGCTTGCCAGAAGTCTTGCCCAGTTGCCGAGTTTTGTCGACGCCTCACTCGAGGGCACCAGCATGTCGTGCCCCAGGTTGAGTGAAAACCTGCAGCGACTCCTACGATGACTGCTTCACCGTTCCAGAGGAGACCGTACCCTGTTACGTCACAGCTCAGCCGCAGCTATGTCTCCTATGTTGCAGCATCTGTCCAGACGCAGGAAGGCGTGCAGTGATGCCCTTCGACGCTCATTGCCTATGACCACGATGTTTAGCACACCCCACATGTTTTTTTCTTCCCTCCCTGTAGGAAGTTTTTTTTCCATGTTCATATGTATATATATATGTTTTTATTTTGTGTTCTGTGCCCTGTTCCTACGAGAGAGAGAGACCGAGTTCCTTTTACCAAAAGTATTGTCGCGTCGGGACGACGCGCGGTAGGTGGCCGAGCGTATGTAGACAGCCTGTACTGTCTGCACAGACAGCCCATGCTGTCTGCCAGCTCAGTTCATATTTCGCGCCATGCTGGTGCTGCCACCTATAGGTCTTGCCACTTCAGTATGCCCAGACTTGCCTCTCTCTCACTCACAGCGGCCTAGCAGCAAGACACAAGGCCTCCCAGCTCTCTCTCGTGGGATGGCCCTGCCCAGGCCATGGGCACAAACACACAAGCCTGTGTACCCACCACGACTTAACAATAAACAAAGAAGCCTCTGAAGACGTATCATTAACCACCCGCTACCAAAACACCAAACAAATCTCGTTATAGTAACAATAAAAAAAAATTCCTTTGAAAAAAATGGTGTGGTAGAAGTAAAATATTTGAACAGTTTCAAGGAGAACTCTAAGATTTTCATCAAAACTATTTTCTTTACTACGAGGTTACACGTCTCCTTGAACTCCACCAGTGGACCTTACAGCTACAGCTCATTTCTCTACGATAATGTCTTCGTTTATATATAATATATATATAATATATATATATATATATATATATATTATATATATATATATATATTATATATATATATATTTTTTTTATTATCACACTGGCCGATTCCCACCAAGGCAGGGTGGCCCAAAAAAGAAAAAACTTTCACCATCATTCATCCATCACTGTCTTGCCAGAAGGGTGCTTTACACTACAGTTTTTAAACTGCAACATTAACACCCCTCCTTCATGAGTGCAGGCACTGTACTTCCCATCTCCAGGACTCAAGTCCGGCTGCTGGACTTGATATATATATATATATATATATATATATATATATATATATATATATATATATATATATATATATATATATATATATATATATATATATATATGTCGTGCCGAATAGGCAGAACTTGCTATCTTGGCTTAAATAGCAACGCTCATCTTGCCATACAGGACAAGTGAAAATTTGTGTATGCAATAATTTCGACAAAATCATTCTGAACCTAACGAAAAAAATATATTTCACTGTGTTTGTTTAATATTAAATTATTGTAAACAAATTTAAAATGTATTTAGTTGGGTTAGGCTAAAATAAATTGCGCTTGTTATAATAAGGTTAGGTAAGTTTTCTAAGTTCCTTTTGGTGCAAAATTAAATTTTTTTACATCAACATTAATGAAAAAAATATATCTTTAAACGTATAAGAGAAAATTTTAGAAAGGACTTATTTTTAAATGAGTTCTTGCTAATTGACCAGTTTTACATATTCGGCACGACATATATATATATATATATATATATATATATATATATAATATATATATATATATATATATATATATATATATATATATATATATATGTATATATGTCGTGCCGAATAGGCAGAACTTGCGATCTTGGCTTAAATAGCAACGCTCATCTTGCCATATAGGACAAGTGAAAATTTGTGTATGCAATAATTTCGCCAAAATCATTCTGAATCTAACGAAAAAAATATACTTCGTTGTGTTTCTTTATTATTAAATTATCGTAAACTTATATAAAATATATTTAATTGAGTTAGGCTAAATTAAATTGTTCTTGTTATAATAAGGTTAGGTAAGTTTTCTAAGATTCTTTTGGTGCAAAATTATAAATTTTTATATCAATATTAATGAAAAAAATATATCTTTAAACGCACAAGAGAAAATTTTAGAAAAGACTTTATTTTAAATGAGTTCTTGCAAATTGACCAGTTTTACATATTCGGCACGACATATATAATATATATATATATAATATATATATATATATATATATATATATATATATATATATATATATATATATATATATATATATATATATATATATATATATATATATATATATATATATATATATATATACATGCAATAAAGTCACAGCAAACAGGTGATATCACAAATGCAGAACAATTACTGTAAAAAAAAAAAGCGAAATTCCAAGCGTTTTCGTGACTTCTCACATTATCAAGGAACTGTAGTCGTGCGAAGTCACTTGTGGTGGTCATAATACTGAGCAATGACGCTTGAGTGTTATAGATCCTTGAGATATCACAAGCAGTACCACCCGCATCTCTGGTTGCCACTCCACTTCAATCACCAGCCATTCTTGCAGTCTTAATAACAAAATTCATTACATTCTTTTTGGGACAGAACACTAAAACACTCTTGGGGTTATGATTTTCTTTTCCTGAAATCGTGACGGTCCAGATAATGACTGCTACGTGGACTCTGGGAAATCCTAACAGGCAGCCGTGTAAGTTGGGATGAGACGCTGAGCTGAGAGACTGCTTAGTGTTGTCAGGCAGTGTTGTGTGGTAAGTCAAGATGATTCACAGGCATCTGCTCATCTGGGCGTCTCTCCTTGCTGGGGCCCAGGCCTTGGTTCACGCCCAGGACATTTTTAATTTCAGACCCATCATAGGTGAGTTCAATATGTTTATTAAGTATATTCACAAATCTGAAACGAGAACTAGAATGTATTTTGGTCGTGGACAAATAGGCCGAAACGGCATCCCTTTTTTTTTATTACAAATTAATGGATTAATTATTAATTCTTCCAACCACGGCATTGTGATTTAAACAGTTGTGGTTCCCGAAACGTTTTTTTGGGGGAAAAGTAGCCACTAGAGTGTACTGTAGCCAAATTTACTGTTGTACCCCTTGATGCCGGTAAGAGGCTCTTGATTTAAAGAATTGTACCTCTTCTCCCTTTCCTGGATTGAACTGTTTGATTACCTCCCTTTCCTCTAGACGTTCTACGAACCATATGGGTTTAGCGTTCCCCCATTAATGGAATAATAATCTACTGCCCTAACACTGAAGAAATACTGGAGAATGCATGGTTAGAAGTTAATTACATACAAATGCTGAATGTGTTGTCCATTAAGGTTTTTACAAAAGTGTACACGATGGGTCATGTTAGCGAACACGTTTTAATGTCTGTTTTGATATGCAATCTTCTGTAGGCTGGATGTTGACTTGTAGTTAATCTATATTTACAAGAGATTGATCATGAAGAGCTCAGCTGTTGAGGTCAAGAGCCAGTTGGTCATCATGAAGTCATTCTCTTTCAACTTTGATGATAAGATAAGATTTCGTTCGGATTTTTAACCCCGGAGGGTTAGCCACCCAGGTTAACCCAAGAAAGTCAGTGCGTCATCGAGGACTGTCTAACTTATTTCCATTGGGGTCCTTAATCTTGTCCCCCAGGATGCGACCCACACCAGTCGACTAACACCCAGGTACCTATTTGCTGCTAGGTGAACAGGACAATAGGTGTAAGGAAACGTGTCGGAATTTCCACCCGCCGGGAATCGAACCCGGGCCCTCCGTGTGTGAAGCGGGAGCTTTAGCCACCAGACCACCTGACGTATAGTAATATAGGTCACTCTAGATTAAAATTTCTGCCAGAGACATTCTATTGGCTCCAGCCTTACTCCCGGCTATAATGTATAATGTTAAATGAGACATTTGTGCAACATTTAGGTATCTTTTTTTTTGGAAACGTTTCGCTAGCCAGTGTCTTCAGTCCAATGCAGAGAAAGGCACACAAGTGTCTCACTTATGAACTTGTCGGTTTTCTGAACCATTTATTCACATAATGTATAATATTTGTAAACCATTATCTTCAAACTTTGATATTAAACTCCAGACCTCAACTCTAAAAGTTTCTTTGATAAGTTTTGTCTGTTATTTTGTAAAGTACCGCCTTAGAGATTGGACTACATTTTTTTGGTTAGATGATTTGGATAATATCAGGATACAGGACAAGTGTCTCCTGTCACGGGTATAAGCCAGAAGATTACTCCTTAATTAAGTAGCCAAGTATCCGCTGGCCAACCCCAGCTACGTTTTCATCCTATTTAGAAAACAAAGAATCACAACAAAGCAGATTTCTAAAAGGGTTCAAGATACTGCGTATTTATAGTGAATCATTCATGATTCGTATAACGTAAGCGTCACACACACACATTGTTTCCCAAACCTGTTGATAATGTTATCTGGGCACATAACAACTGGACTTTATACCCTGTGGAAAGTTTTAATTATGGATTGAGCGAATTAGTTAAATTATTGCGTACCAAAATTCTGCTGTTCGATAAGACAGGGTATAATTTCCAACACAAAACCGATGTATCATTTATTGAATAAAAAGTTGGCAGTGTTGGGGAAATTCTTGAATATTTTGAATTATAAATACATTATTTGATCAGATCAGTATACACGGGTAAATACACTACGGTGCTTATATCTCTCAGTGTATATACGTAGTTTATATTAAGCACTATGTTAGGGGTTTATGTCTTCATGATAGTGTACAGTGCGACCTTAGTGACCCACTTGAAGTCGACAGACGTTAAGCCAAAAACAGTAGTGCACCTTACATATCTATTTCTTTTCAAAATAGTTAATGCATATAAAGATGTGCGAAACTCATCTTGTATGATGGAATATGAAATACAACACATATTTGACGGACAGGGTTGATGTTCCCAGGTTTGTCTAATAAAAAAAGATAAAAGGATAAACTTTGTGAGGAATGACTAAGCAGCACCGTCCTTCTAACAGGAGTGCTGGCTCAGCGTCCCCCGGACAGGATGGTCGCAGGACTGGACAAGAACTACACCTCTTATATCGCAGCTTCCTACGTCAAGTACCTAGAGAGTGCTGGCGCCCGGGTTGTCCCTATTCTGTATGTCGTAACCACATTACTGTTATTATTATTAATATTATTATTATTATTATTATTATTATTATTGTTGTTGTTGTTGTTGTTGTTGTTGTTGTTGTTTTTATTTATGTCATTCAACTGCTTTTGATTCTCACAGTAATACACGTATTTAAAAATACTGATCTGCATTAGTGGTTTTCGGCATTCGGCCCTAGATAATTTATGTGAAATATAACCGAGTATTATCTGATATTTTAACAATATTCTTGTTATTTTACTTTCCAATAGTACCTACCAGGACGACGCATACTATGAGGAACTTGCTGGTTCCCTTAACGGGTGAGCTGACCTTGACATATCTGTCATATTTCAATTGAGTGTATATATATATATATAAAATATATATATATATATATATATATATATATATATATATATATATATATATAAATATTATATATAATATATATACATATATATATATATTATATATATATATATATATATATATATATTATATAAAATATATATATATATATATATATATATATATATATATGCAAAACAACCACTTTGAAAGAATAGATAATGTGAGTAGTCGCAAAAGCGCTTGCAATTTCTCTATTTTTACACAGTGGTTGTTTTGCATATTCTGAAATCACCTGTTTACTGTGATCTTATTGCATTATTTTATATATATATATATATATATATATATATATATATATATATATAATATATATATATATATATATTATATATATATATATATATATATAATGTTGTGTGGGGTGTGTGTGTGTGTGTGTGTGTGTGTGTGTGTGTGTGTTGTGTTTGTGTATGTGTATGTACTCACCTATTTGTGGTTGTATGTGTATGTGTGTGTGTGTGTGTGTGTGAGTGAGTGTGCGTTGTGTGTGTGTGTTTGTGTATGTGTATGTACTCACCTATTTGTGGTTGTATGTGTATGTGTGTGTGTGTGTGTGTGTGTGTGTGTGTGTGTGTGTGTGTGTGTGGTGAGTGTGTGTGTGTGTGTTGTGTGTGTGTGTGTGTGTGTGTGTGTGTGTGTGTGTGTGTGTGTGTGTGTGTGTGTGTGTGTGTGTGTGTGTGTGTGTGTTTTGTGAACACTGTACACATGTATTAATTACAAGACACTTTTCCTTACTTTATTTCTAATATTTTAACATTAAATTTAGCCATGAACTCGACTCACTTTGTATAAAAGTTTTAAATTATAAACTCTTAATTTGCTTACGAGTTAATTACAATAAATTATATTTTAATGTTGCAAACTAAACTGACCCATCGACATAAATTTAAAATGAATTCAAGAAGATGTTTTTTTTTTCGGAATGGCGTCAGAACCCACGTTATTCCTGGCAATATCCTCAGGTGTATTGAAGAGGCGCAGATGATTGTTTTTGGCCTCCCTGTGGATGCTGCTAACCTTTGTGTTTTGTCTCTGGACTCAGGATCTTGTTCCCTGGAGGAGCTGTGCCCATCACCAGCGACAGCGGCTACGGCGCAGCTGGGAAAATCCTATATGATTATGTAAGTTTCTCTAGAGCAGTTTACCCCTCCGTGATAGACAATAGACGTGAGTGAGTGTGTGCATGTGTGTGTGGGAAACTAAGCGTTTCAGCACTAGGGGCGGAGACACCAAAAATTGCCAAGATATATTAGGCAAACGTTTAGAAAACAGGATAGCACATAAAATATTTCTTGATAAAAACAAGACAATTGGTCCACAGACAAATCAAAATAAGGGAGAAAACCGAAGCAAACTCTTCCTTACTCAGGTCAGCTTACTGTTAGTGACAAATAAATTTGTACCATTTTCAACATTTATTTCCTTTCTGTTTTTACACGATGATGCAAACGAAATGCCAGAAATCAATAAAAAGTGAAAATTGACAAATATGATACCCAATTGCAAAGCGAGAGATGGATCCTTAGCTTCAAATTATAGATCAATCAGCCTAACTTCAATTGTGGGAAAGTTGATCTAATCAAAACTGCTGGTGCAATTTGAATCCACCTTGAAAGTTATAATTTGATCAACGAATGTCAGCACAGTTTTACAAAAGGGCGTTCTTAGACTTACAACTTTACTAACATTTTCACTAATGTCTTCGAGACAGTAGACCGAGATACTGTGTATAAGGACGTCATTAAGTCATTTGTTAAAATTCCACACAAGAGACTGGTTAAGAAAATAGCGGTACGTGGAATAGGAGAAATTATCTCCTGGGTCGAGGCATGGCTGACCGATAGCAATAGACTTTCCATTAATAGGGAGAAATCGGAATGTGCTGGAAGAAGTGTGTTATGAGAATAAGAGGAATGTGCACGTAAGAACTGTGTCATGAGAGGGATGTGCTGATGAGTTATGAGACAAGGAGTGGTGTGTTGATAAGACATGGAACAAATTCGGTGGAGTGTGACCTGTCAAGTCAGAAAACTAATCTGTCACTCCACCTGCTTCACTTCTGAGTCTGATAACGTTTTTACCACAGACGTTAATGACGTAGGCAGTGTGACCCAAATAAAAAAAATCATTCACTATCACTCATTCCCTAGCTATTTTTTTTCACCGAAACGTAATGGCCCCAGCCAACGTCATTAATTCCTCTCCTATTTACCGCTGCAGGTGCTGTCTGCCAACGCTAAGGGCATATACTTACCACTGTGGGGCACCTGTTTAGGCATGGAGATGATCACCTATTTGTCTTCCAACAATAACTGGTTAACCTACTGCCTTGCCAACAACATCGCCAACTCTCTGGATCTGCAGGACGGTATATCAGCGCTGTATAGCCCTTGTGGTTTAGCGCTTCTTTTTTATTATAATAACGCAGGGCGGTATGTGGCAGTAAGCTTCAAGGGTGTGGCTTGATATTAACAAAAGGCTCTTGATCTAAAAAAAAGTGGAGCTCCCTTTCCTAGATTAATCCTGATTTCCTCCGCTTTTACATGTGCTATATAACCCATACGAACTTTAGACTACGTCCCATGATTATAATATTACCGGGAATCAGCCAAGCATAAATAGTAATGAAGTAATTACGTCGCCCAACTAGTTAATTAGATCATAGGTGTATAATATTCATAGCATATATGTATTGAAAAAATATACACCTCTTGCTGTAAATAACCTTGCTAACAAGTTCATGAATAAGACACGTGAAACACCTGGGTATTTTTTTATTTGACAGATGTTTCACCAACCAGGGCTTTATCAGTCTAACAAGACGTCTCTTCAGTGAAGATAACCAGGTGTTGCCCGTGTGTCTTATTCCCAGCGAGTTAAAAATACTGAGTGTCCTCTCAGAGACTAGAAATTGTTGTTAAGTTGGTTGATAATGGTGTTTAAATCTTATCGACTTCTGTAAGGTCATTAAGACTGCATGTACCATTTTCACCACCAGACAAGAACACTTTAATCCCTAAAATAGGGACTGAAGTAAACTCAGTATATACAGTATACACCGAGAGAAATACATCTCTCGGTGTATATACACACCGAGAGACATACATCTCTCGGTGTGTATATCGTATGTTAGTCTATTTTTAAAGCTTTCAAATCTCAACGCTTTAATAACATAGAGATGAAAAGCTGTCCGGAAGTATGTTAAGATAATGCAGTGGAAAAGATGTTGCATTTAAGAAAAATGGCCTAGGTAAAAATGGAACAAGTAAAAAGGAAAAAAAAAGGCACACTTGCATTAACCTAGTGTCGCTTTTACTTTACCATTTTTATTGTGTAATTTTAACGTGTTATTTTTACTTTACCATTTTTACCTTTCTTTTTACCGTGCAACAAGGTGCAATGTTGATAATACCAGGATCACTAGACCGTGAATTAGAATTCCCTCACTGTATTTTAAATATTAAGTTAAATTAACATCTCTAGTTAATTAGTTTTGCAGCCTACCAGCTAGATAACTTCCCTCTAGGAGTCGCACCTAACTCGCCAAAAGTACCACTATTCCGCAAAAGTCAAATATGGACCAAAGAAAAATTTCTGAATTCAAATAACACCATTAGGTACACAGAGAAAAATCAACCCTTCATGAATCCAAAATTTCATTTGAAACTGCAGCTGGGATGCCCATGTTTTCATGACGGGAAGTGGGGTGTCCTGAACCATCATGAATTTGCATTAACCATCACACTGCTTTCTCTGCTGTACCTAATAATAATTAGGTACAGCACACCACCGAACCCTAAGTGCAACAGCGATTAAAGAATACTAAAGACTGTATTCAAGAATGACACTATGATCATCAGGATTCCATTTAAGTAGGAAATTAACACAGGCGGCTCAAGCCTCGACCAAACCTTGCGTTAAAATAGTCCACACGGGTTTACTGTTTCACATAAAAGATAATAAGCTGGTCCATATATGTCCACACATTTAAATTTGGATAATGCTAGAAAATAAGATTTATTATGAATCCCCTTTCCACAGTGTGATTTTTCATATATATTAAAAAATTCATTCACAATTGAAGTGTGTGCTATGAAGGGCTTTCCGTGAGCTATTCAGTTTTGGAAATACTATTTTAAATGCAGTTACAAAATAATAGCACTGTATAAAAGAGCTTTATAAGAATTCACTGTATGTCACAATTTTATGGTTGGCTCTCACCATGTTAAGACAGGTGGGTGTTGAAACACGTAGGTGGGTGTTGAAACACGTAGGTGGGTGTTGAAACACGTAGGTGGGTCTTGAGCTGTCATAGGATGAAAATCTATACTTAACCCACTTCAAGACTCTTATGGCCAGGAGGGTCTTGAAGATGGCAGGCAAATCTTAAACTTTGTTTACATTCAGCACACACTCAGTTTTATTATTCTGTATTATTATTATTATTATTATTATTATTATTATTATTATTATTATTATTATTATTATTATTATTATTATTGTTATTATTATTATTATTATTATTATTATTATTATTATTATTATTATTATTATTTAAGAGACCTGATGTCCTAAATAATAATAATAATAATAATAATAATAATAATAATAATAATAATAATAATAATAATAATAATAATAATAATAATAATAATTTGACCTCACTAACTCGGAATATAACAGTTTATTATATTACTGATATATAATATTGACAAGTTGATGGATAAAACATGTACAACACGTAAGTATCTCCATTGCAATAATGATACCCAAGTGTTGCATATATGTCTTATCTATATATGTGACAGTTTAGTATTATTGGCTCACAACAGGTTACGTGGACTCAAGGATGTTCTCCCAGATGCCAGCCACCACCATACTGTACCTCAGAACTCTCAACGTCACCGTCAACTTCCACCACAAGTGTCTCACACCACAGGTATGTCACACTCACATGTACGTCAAACAACAGACACGTCAAACATGTATGTAACATCACAGGTACGTCACACCACAGGTTAGTTGCACGATAGGTAAGTCACACGACAGGTAGATCATACTTATTTCACTCCACAAATCTCAAGTCTTCGACTTTGTGGGGACTTTGTTTAAGTTCGGATACCACTCTTGGGACTTTGGGCAAATGTTAGCAACAATGTGGCCTAACTGTTATATGTTCCATTATTGTACAGTGTATCTCAAGTAAGAGAGGTCACGTGAGTATCTGGGGTTGGGAGGAATCTTCCATGTATCAAGACATTCCAAAGGTGCTCGGCCAAAATTTTGTAACATGTCCCGATCGGACTATTGCAGTATTCCCTTAGGAGACGATACTAGAAAGTCGGACTTCGCTCGTGTAACTTTGAGCTGTGACACTACCGTGTCGTCTGAACGCCGATATGCGATGGCTTGACTGAAGATACGTCATTCATTCCACAAAGATGATTCATGGGGACGCTGTACTTTCGCTCGTTCTAGGCATGTTGAACGCCGTCCTTGAACTCACTGTCGTAACAATTCTATTGCGTACGCTAAAGTATTGTCTCTGTATCACTGTACATGTTATAGAGTCTTCAATGCACTTTTAGACTTGTTTCAATGTCACTCGACTTGTCACCATCACTTGTTCGCCAAGATTCACTCATAAACATAATTAATGTCCACGGTTAACGTACCACGGTAGAGATAGTTACTAAAGATACTTGTTCAACAGGATCACGAAGCCTGCGTGTCAACGCGGTGTGACCACTGTTTCCTTCCTCTCCTTAATTTCCATCTTATAGTGGTTGGATCACTGCCACTCTTGTCTGCGGCTTAATAAGACCACAGACTAGAGTTAATACTGAGGTATACTTCCGTTAAGGCCATTTCCACGCATAATAACATTTCAACGTTGCCTGACCTCGCCCCGGTAAACTCTTGTCAGGAACTACCTGCTCCTTGGACTCTGCCGCCTCAGGACACGGGAAAAAATGTCAAAGAATCAAAGTCTCCCTTGAATAGGAGGCGTCGTTAACAAAATTCATCCTGTTAGCTGTATCATTAGGTCATAGACTTATTAGCCCTCTTATCTAGACTCAAATTGAGAGCGTTTGGGCAACTCTCAGGGTTGTCAGCCTTACTTCGTAGCGGGAAAGGAGGGCGTATCGGACATGGCCATATATGGTATAATATGCATGTTCACCCCTCCCTTGTCCTGTGGATATGGAGGGGGAAGGAGGGAATTCGCAGTTTCCCTTCCTCCTTGTTAGAGGTTAATTGTTTCGCAGACCTAGCCCTGTATAACCCAAACGGGTTTAGCGCCTCCTTTTTATAATACACGTAATAATATTATTGTTATTATTATTCTTAATTCAACTTAGTCAAATAAAATCTAGTTTGTACTCATATCCCTGCAACGGGTTAGGTACTATGAGTTGACAGAAGCCTAATTTACTGTATTTTATTACAGAACTTCACAGAGTCGGGCTTATCAGACCAGTACAAGCTGTTGGCCACTAGTCGGGATAGCTTAGGCATGGAGTACATAGCCCTGCTAGAGCACCGAGACCTGCCTATCTTCACCTCTCAGTTCCACCCGGAGAAGAACCCGTTCGAATGGGCAGACGACACGAACCACGACAGTATTCCTCACACGCCGGAGGCCGTGGAGAGCGCTCAGTATTTCGCTAAATTCTTCGTTAACCAGGGTGAGAGGGTGTAAAGTTTTCTTTAACTATGGTGTGTGTGTGTGCGTAACATTTTCGTTAACTACGGTGAGTGACTTTAATTAACGTTTTCCATAACCAGGCGACTTTGTGTCTATTTTACTCTAGTAAATGAATCCTGTGGCATAAGTTTGGAGTCAACAGTATCCCCCTGACCTTCGTTACATCACCATATTGGACCTTGCTCTGGGCTCTGCATATAAACAATTCCTCCCTGACACTTGACGAACTCTTTACCCATAAACTTAACAACCTAGTTAGAAGAGGTGCCGAAAATTTGTTAGTAAGTTCTTTACAAACAGTGCTAGGTCAATAGAATATTTTATAAGTGCAGGTAGAAGTAATACAATCAATGGATATATATATATATATATATATTATATAATTATATATATATATATATATATATATTATAATATATATATATATATATATATATATATATATATATATATATATAATGGGGTCCACCTCTGGTGTAAATTGTGGGACCCATAGCCTCGGAGAAGTGGATAAAAAGGCTTCAAGAAGAATATTTGGATTTCTTCCTGAAGCCATTTGAATATTCCACTTCCCCTACCACCCCATCTTTTAAACTATTTTTTTTTACCAATAGGAATATTTTATTACATAATATGGCACAGAAGATTTAAGAGATACATTGTTGATATAAAGGTGGCATATATATATATTAATATATATATATATATATATTATATATATATAATATATATATTATATATATATATATATATATATATATATATATATATATATTATATATATATATATATAACATGTTGTTACGTGTGTATCACCGATTATAAGGCGAAAATCTCATCCAGCTCCTCAGAGCTGGGGCGTGTGCCCAAAATGCAGCATGCATTACCCCTTTGAACAGCCGCGCTGAGCCGCTGGAACAGAAAACTAGCTGCCCTGGGATCCCTAGTTACCCTGATGAGTCTTTTTCCCAGCTCCTTAAGGAAATTAGATGCACTCTTTCCCCATGAGCCAAGGGTCTCTGAGCCTATGGGAACAAACATATAATGATGGGCAAGTTCTCCATATTTTCTAGACTTTTGGGACTCCCTAAAGCTGGCAGCTGCCCCTCCTTCCTCCCTGGTGTATTGGAGATAGGTATCAGCCAAGGTAGATGCACATGTATAGTCCCACACCACCTGCTTCCCATCTGTCCAGGCTTGAAGGGTGATACCATCTGGACGCTTCTGGCTGCCATCAGATCTGCATAGTTGGGGTGGCTCCCTTACTGCTGGGCATCCAGCTGTTGTGAGGCTCCTCTTGATAATGAGGAAAATTAAAGCACATGGAATAGGAGGAGAAATTTTTTCCTGGATAGAGGCATGGTTGACAAATAGGCAGCAGAGAGTTTGCATAAATGGGGAGAAATCAGAGTGGGGAAGCGTCACGAGCGGTGTTCCACAGGGGTCAGTGTTGGGCCCCCTGCTGTTCACAATCTACATAAACGACATAGATGAGGGCATAAAGAGCGACATCGGCAAGTTTGCCGATGACACCAAAATAGGCCGTCGAATTCATTCTGACGAGGACATTCGAGCACTCCAGGAAGATTTGAATAGACTGATGCAATGGTCGGAGAAGTGGCAGATGCAGTTTAATATAGACAAATGCAAAGTTCTAAATGTTGGACAGGACAATAAACCATGCCACATATAAACTAAATAATGTGGATCTTAATATTACGGATTGCGAAAAAGATTTAGGAGTTCTGGTTAGCAGTAATCTGAAACCAAGACAACAGTGCATAAGTGTTCGCAATAAAGCTAATAGAATCCTTGGCTTCATATCAAGAAGCATAAATAATAGGAGTCCTCAGGTTGTTCTTCAACTCTATACATCCTTGGTTAGGCCTCATTTAGATTATGCTGCACAGTTTTGGTCACAGTATTACAGAATGGATATAAATTCTCTGGAAAATGTACAAAGGAGGATGACAAAGTTGATCCCATGTATCAGAAACCTTCCCTATGAGGATAGACTAAGGGCCCTGAAACTGCACTCTCTAGAAAGACGTAGAATTAGGGGGGATATGATTGAGGTGTATAAATGGAAGACAGGAATAAATAAAGGGGATGTAATAGTGTGCTGAAAATATCTAGCCTAGACAGGACTCGCAGCAATGGTTTTAAGTTGGAAAAATTCAGATTCAGGAAGGATATAGGAAAGTACTGGTTTGGTAATAGAGTTGTGGATGAGTGGAACAAACTCACAAATACCGTTATAGAGGCCAGAACGTTGTGTAGCTTTAAAAATAGGTTGGATAAATACATGAGTAGATGTGGGTGGGTGTGAGTTAGACCTGATAGCTTGTGCTACCAGGTCGGTTGCCGTGTTCCTCCCTTAAGTCAATGTGACCTGACCTGACTAGGTTGGGTGCATTGGCTTAAGCCGGTAGGAGACTTGGACCTGCCTCGCATGGGCCAGTAGGCCTTCTGCAGTGTTCCTTCGTTCTTATGTTCTTATTAACCTCCTCATGTCTTGCAATCTTTCCCTCGGATTTACGGCACACAAGACCATGGTACCCGAATCGGTCTGCTGCTTCACTGCCACAAATACACCTGTGTTCGGCGAGAATAGGGGCGGCAAGTCGAAGGGCAACACCGATGCGGATGGTCTGTGGGTCGAGGCGTGTGCCAAGGCTGGAGTTGGGAACAGCCAACAGAAAGTCCCCAGCATGAGGGGCTCTCACTGCCAGCAGGCGGGCTCTATCCTTCCCTGACACACTCTGAAGCATCGTTGAGGCTATATTTTCCACTATTGGACCATCCCAGTGTGATTGTTTGTAGTTGTTGGGGGGGCAGGTCTGGTTTCTGAGCCCGTTAGATTATCCCAGATCATTGCTCCGTCAATGAATTTTGGTCCTGGGCTCCAATCTTGTCCCTAAGATGTTCAGGGAGAATCGCTGCTACAAGCTCTCTGGATGCAATACACGAGGACAGAAAAGCAGGTAACGCAATCTGTGATGACTTGCGGACACCAATGCCTCCTAGTCTGACTGGAAGTGTAGCTTGGTTCCACTGCCCGTCTTCTAGAGTAAGGTTAAGTACTTTCGTAAAAATCTGCCTCAGAATACTGTCATATTCGTGCAGTATAGGGTTATCATATGAAGGTGCACATCTTAGGAAATATGTCAACCTGGGCAGACTCAAGCACTTTGTGAGAAGGTACAAGGCATCGTGGGTGTCCAGATTGCCTATTCGTTGTTCCATTCTCCTTAACTCTTCCAATTTCTTCCTGAGAATTGTGTCAATGGCATTGCTGAAGATGGGAGACGATGATCATTGCTCTGTTCTTGCAACTACAAAAAGGTAAATACCTGATTTTCAGCATGCAGGTATTTTGGAAGCAGACTCTCTCTTTTCACATCTCTATCCATCTTTCTACTGATTCACTTGTCCATACTTTCCATCGCGTAATTCTTTTCCCAGCTCCACTGTCGCACGTCGACTTCCCTGCTGTATGTCACAAATGGTTCCCTCTGTTGTCTCTGGGCGTTACTTCCTCTCTAGTTCTTGACTTTACCTACCCTCTCTTCCTTATATTTTTATCTGTCTCCCCAGTCCTCCTCACTTAAGCTCCCCCTAAAACTACTCTTCATCTTTCCCTCTTCATTTCATCTTTAATCTGTTCTCTCTCGGCTTCCCCCTTTCTTATTTTTTCCCCCTTTCACCAACTTCCTATTTCTCTCACTCCTCAGCTTCGTTCCCTTGTATGTGTTCTCGTCTGTGTGTACCACAGAAATATTACTTTTCATTTATGCAAAACAAACTATACACAAATAACTTTTTATTCAATTGTACAACAAAATCACAGATTATTACCAGTTCTGGATTTTTTTGATGCATTATAGAGTATTCATTTTACATAATAATAATAATAATAATAATAATAATAATAATAATAATAATAATAAATAATAATAATAATAATAGTAATAATAATAATAATAATAATAATAATAATAATAATAATAATAATAATAATAATAATAATAATAATAATAATAAAATACGAATAATAAAATATTGATATATATGTCCTCAGCTCGTCTGAACATCCAGAGCTTCAACTCCAAAGAGGAGGAGGAAGGCGCCCTCATCTACAACTATCAGCCAGTTTTCACGGGGTCTACTTCAGGCTTCGTTCAAGCCTACCTGTTCCTGTAACAAGCAGCAGCGACACGTGCATCTCTACTAACTTTCGATCCATATTAGTTTAGCTCATCCCAATAATAATAATAATTATCTATTAACTTTTATAAAGCAATAACACCCTTATGAGGTTGCAGGGGTCGAAACACAGTTCCTGGTATATATACATCCTGTGTGTATGTCCCAGTGTATAATGCACATTTCGGTGCATATAACTACTATTACTCCTCTAATTAAGGATGCACATCGAGAAAAGTATATACACCGAGTATACTTACAGTGTGTATATACCAAGAGGCGAAACGTTTTACCTGTACACGAGGTTTCTTCAGTCGAATACAGGCGAACGTTTGTGTTGTGCATGTTTTATGCATCTAACCTAACCTAACCTAACTTAACCTAACTTAACCTAACTTAACCTAACCTAACCTAACTTAACCTAACTTAATTAACCTAACTTAACCTACCATAACCTAACTTAACCTAACTTAACCTAACTTAACCTAACCTAACCTAACTTAACCTAACTTAACTTAACCTAACTTAACCTACCATAACCTAACTTAACCTAACCTAACTTAACCTAACCTAACTTAACCTAACCTAACTTAACCTAACCTAACTTAACCTAACTTAACCTAACCTAACCTAACCTAACCTAACTTAACTTAACCTAACTTAACCTACCATAACCTAACTTAACCTAACCAAAACTTAACCTAACCTAACTTAACCAAACCTAACTTAACCTAACCTAACTTAACCAAACCTAACTTAACCTAACCTAACCTAACCTAACCTAACTTAACCTAACTTAACTTAACCTAACTTAACCTACCATAACCTAACTTAACCTAACCTAACTTAACCTAACCTAACCTAACCAAACCTAACTTAACCTAACCTAACCTAACCTAACTTAAGCTAACCAAACGTAACCTAACCTCTGTAACAAATTGTTATATATATATTATATATTATATTATATATATTATATATATATATATATATATTTATATATATATTATATAAATATATATATAATATATATATATACTCTAATCTTAATTCCTAACTTACACTTATACCTAAGTTAGCACAATAAAGTTTTCTAACTCCTTCGTACTAATTACCTTACCTAGCTCTTGGACAGCGCTAACCATTCAGGGGTGAAGGGCTCTCGATCCAAGGCATTCGAGTGCTCCCTTCTATTTCCTTGGATCAAACCTGATTATCTCCCATTATGCAGGCGCTATATAACCAATATAAATTTAGCTCTTTCCCATAATAATAATTATAATACTAATAAATTTTCATTATATTTATCGTATTGCCACCATCATGGCTATTTAAGTAAAGAATTTATCGCGATACTGTATAACATATATATATATATATACATATATATATATATATATATATATATATATTTTATATATATATATATATTATATATATATATATATATATATATATATATATATATATATATTTATATTATATATATATATATACATACACACACACAAAGTTTACATGAATCATTATTTTAAGTATTAAAGTATTCTTGACTGGTGAACTGGTGACTTGTAGCCTAAATGGCTCTCATGTAGTCAATAGGCTTTAAACTCAATTGATAAACGATACTTACCTGGTATATTTGAATCGAGAAGTGTATGCGAGTGTATATATCTGAGAATTTAATCACTATTTTTAAGGATTAAAGTATTCTTAACGTGACGAACAGGATGCACACAGCATTACTCATGTGGTCAATAAGCTTCAAACCCGATTAACCAACAGTGATCACCCATGAATGAGACTTATGCTCCGGGCTTGGACATCTGCCTCAGCCTTCAGCAGTAGTAATAAATTCCTTGTAATCATCCTTTTTTTGGCATGTGTCCTCGACCTTTCTTGCTCGCTCTGGACATCAGTAGTAGAGGTTTAACAGATTAGCTCCTTTTCACCCTGTTGCTATTGAGTGACAATGGGGGTTGGAAAGGAGAAAACCAGTTCCTGTTGTCACGTGGGCATCCTAGTATTTGTAGAGGCGTCCTTGTGTATAATAAATATTGTTGAAATTACTAATAAGATTTTAGGTAAATTGCCAAAAAAAAAAAAAACGGTTTGGAACCCTTTAAGGACACTGATCCCATACTTTATGATTTATCATCACGTTGATTTTGCAAGTATATTTTGGGAAATGACACAAATGTGGTACAATGCTATTCTTCATTGACAACGTTTCGCCCAATAAAGGATCTCATTATACTGCATTTGTGTCTCTTGTTTTCCGTCGAGTCAGTATTTTATGCCATTTTTTTCACTTTATATAATACCGAGTTATATAAAAGATACACGTGTGCAACGTCAGGTAACGTTATTGAGAAAAAATTTCGCCAACCTGGGATTTTATTAATACGGTACAAAAGCAGAACAATAGGGAATATATAGTAGTGTGGAAGTCAGCTGTAGTGTAGGCGGGGTGTTCTAAATGGTAACTGACGTCACCTGACGCCTGTGTCCTGACAGCGTAAAATAAATTTAAAATCTCTAGAGATACTGGAGCTGACTGCGTTCTGCACAGCTATATTGTGAAAGGTCACACACGCACATATACACACAAAAAAAAGGGGGGGGGGTGTAATTAACAACACTTCTATTAAGCCTTGACGCTAGGTTAGGTTAGGTAAGGTTCGTCAGGAAACAGGACAAATGTTTCCTGACGCGGGTCTTAGTCAGATGATGACCCGCCTTTGGAGCTTTTGGTCATCTGACCGAGGCCTTCCGCTGGCTTACCGGTCCACCCTTTTAAAAATTATGGTCATTTATAACCATTGTTATTTTTTTTTGATGCCTTGACGCTGATAGCGAGTTCTTGATCAGTGGAAATTGTGATACTTTTCTGTTCCATGGATCGTTATATGACTCGTGAGTTTAATACATCTCCAATTAATCTAATACTAATAATTAGGATCTGTAGCCTGTCAAATCACCAGCTCCGTGATTTAATAGCATCTGTAGCTTCGAAAATTAATAGAATATAAAGTACCTTCGCAGAGCACTCAGCTTGTAAGCCCCTCAGGGGAGGTTCCTTGATGTTGGTGAGGGGCTCTTGATTTAGGGAATTGGATCTGTGCTCCAGTTCCCCGAACTAAGCCTGAATGCCTTCCACATCCCCCCCCCCCAGGCGCTGCATAATCCTACGGGTTTAGCGCTTCCCCTTGATTATAATAATAATAATCAGCTTATAAGCTGACATGTTGATAAGACAATATGCTGTTTAAGGCATTTTTATTAAGACGTTTCGTCCACCAGAGACTATTATGAGAGAGGTTTATGACATAGCGAAACGTCTTTTCGCTATGTCATAAGCAGAATATTGTCTTATTAACATATTTGTCGGTATATAATACAATAGATATCGCATGAGGGCAGAAAGTCTGGCTGTCCACATACCCAGCGCCAAAAACTCGAGTAATCTCAGCTCATAGCCGATGATCAAAGAGGTTTTTAGCTTGTGTATTTAATGCACATTGTTCTCTTCCCTATTATCAATTGCTCCTCTTACGTAAGTTTATAAACACAACACACCTACGCATCCTTTGTGTCATACGAAAAATACCTCTGACCAAAGCTAATCCCATGTGCCAGAAACCGTTTTTAGCGAGGATATGTTGAAGATACTAATTTCCACTCTCTCGTGTATAAATGGAACCCTGGAATAAATAATGGAGATATATATAAAGTGCTGAAAATATCTAACCAAGCCAGGGTTCGCAGCAACGGATTCAAGTTGGATAAATTTAGAAAGGATATAGAAAAAGCACTAATAAGGCAACAGAGTTATAGACGAATGGAACATTTAGTATCATTGCAGTGAGAACTTCTGATAGGTTTAAAGAATAGACTAGACAGGTACATGAGTGGGCGTACGAATATAATAATGGAGAATACAGTACCGACAGGTAGATAAGTAAGACACATGTGCAGCAGTTAGGTATCTTTATTCAGAAACATTTCGCCTACACAGTGGGCTTCTTCAGTCGAATACGGAGACAGCAGAAGCTGCGTAGATGTAAAGGTGTAATCTGTCCATCACCCACGAGGTAGTTTTGAGGTGGTCGGTCCCTCAGCCTAGAGCAGAGTGGGCGTGTCATAACAGTATTAGTACACAATAGAGATGATGAGTTAGACACATGCAACATCTGGGTATCTAAACTGAGGGACTGATTACCTTATCCCCCACTGTTTTTTGTGTATAGTCCTGCATGGCTGAGGGACTGATTACCGCATATTCTACTGTCTTCATATATCATTTCTGTATCGAACTGACAAAGCCAATAGTTGGCGAAATGTCTTCGAATAAAGGTACGAGTGGGTGTGGCTGTGTGTGAGTTGGACCTGACCAGCATGGGCCAGTAGACCTATTGCACTGCTTCTTTATTCTTTCTTGTTGTAATTTACTGACAGCACAACTTAGCGATAGTTTGATGTTAATGTACGAACACACCCATTACAGGGGTGTCTTGATGCTGCCGAAAGGTTCTTGATTCAAGTAACTGGAGCTACCTTCCCGTACTAATCAAACCTGATAACCTGCCACTCCCATACATGATATGACCCACATCGTACCTGGGTACGGCACGATATGGATAATAATAATAATAATAATAATAATAATAATAATAATAATAATAATAATAATAATAATAACTTTAAAATTAGTAGTAATTTATTATTTTATTATTATATGAGCACATTCGAACTGTATTTTTACATCTCTTTCAGCAATCATAGCGTGACTTCTACACGAGGCAGGGAGACTAATGCTGCTCCTCCAGAGAGCAAGCAACAACATCCTGCTGCTGCTGCTTCACCCACCCAGGAATCTAACGCTATCATCACCACCATTCACCAAGCCAAAAATCGCGCTTTAAAGAAACTCAAGATCAAGGTTTTGTTCTACAATAAGCTGAAGAATGCACTGCACTCTCGAAACAATGGTACAACTAATTCGTAGATCAACAGGCTGGTCCTCCGCCCAGCCTGTCATGAATTGTCGAATACGAAGAGCTGAAAATTACCACACAATGCCTGGCTACTCTTCTGGCCCCACTTCCCGTTTACCCTTCAATGGTCCCTACGTAAGAGTGAGTCTAGTCTAGTCTACTCTCTATTGACTTTAAAAATTTTGATCTCTAAGTGAAGTGTTGTTTCAATAATAGTTTCCATTCTGCCATTGTTTTTCATTAAGTTGTCGATTATATAAGTTCATTTCCATGGAAAAGCCATTTTTTTAATTAAGTGCATATCTGAAAAAGTTTTGTGTAAAATGAGTCTTCATTTTTCCGACACAGATATGCAAGAAGCCTATTTTATTGGACACTAACATTTCCCTTGACGACACCAATCTTTTTCAAGTTTACAGAGTACATAGACAACATGAAAATATATAGGCAGAGTGAGGACTGTGGAGGAGGCGCACATGACCTCTGCATGTGAATATCTATAAAGGTCAAATTTTGAAGTATGCCGAGCAAAAGGAATTTAAATTAAAAGTTCTTTTGATACCTGTATTTGTGATATAGGATCCCTGATATCGAGTTGATATTAATGGCCTCTAGTCCGACTACGTCCTTCCAATAACTGTTAGAACAGAGCCGACAGTTTACAGATAATCCTCAGATGAATATCGTCAGTGGTTATAATACTGTCACTGTTTTCAAGTGTATTCTTGTCCTGGAGTTTGCTCACCAATTCCTTCGTTGTGTCGAAGGTGACTCTGGGACTGTGTGATGGTGTCCATGGTTATTGTTTCACAACTTATTGCTATTTTATACCTTTTATGCCAAGCCTACTTTATGTTAAAAGAAGGGGCTAACTATAATTAACTATGTACTGTAATCAGACTAAAGAGACTGACTGTAAGCCAGCGGTCGTTCTGCCGTAACCTGCCAAATATCATTACAGAAAAATGCCAAACTCAGAGTGAACGGCTGCCACCTTGATAGCTGTATTAGTAGACAAAATGCACTAATGGTTGCTTCTTGCTATGTTGCCAACGACACCATGAAAGGGCCATCATATGACAACACGTCAGGTGGCTCCCTCATGAATGTAATAATAACTGTAAGAATTGTTCATTAATAAATATATTAGCCCACATAAATGGAGAGTATGAATGCACTTTTATAAGTATAATGAATAAATATTTTAGTTTTACTAATACCAACTTCAGCAAGTTGAGAAATAAGATTCCAGGAAGTTGAGTCGAGTAAAATCATGATCTGAAAGAGCATATAAGTATGAGATACAGAAGGATGATTAGCAAAATAAGACATGCAAAAAACAACATGAGAAATGCCCACAGAATTTTCTGAACTTGAGGAGAGTAAATGATGTAAAACTATTAGAGAGAGGTTCCAGCAACAGAGTACTCGAATATCTTGCATAAATGTGAAACACACACAAAAAAAGGAATAATTGAAGTGTGTATGTGTGTGTGTGTGTTTAGGGAAGACAAATAATCAACCTCTCCTAAGGCACATAGTTAATCTTCTTCATATATCTTAAACTATTTTTCTTTGTACATTGATATGATACGTAAGAAATGAAAAACTAACCAATTATAAAAGAACAATTATAAAAGCCCAATTAACCAACATTACCTGTACACCAGTCAAAAATACTTTAATTCCTAAAATTAAGGATTAAAATAAACTCCCAGCTCATATACTGTACACCAAGAGATATATACACCCATCAATCTAAACCTTAACGGAATGAAGATTGAGACACTTATGCAGCATATGGAAATCTTTATTCAGGAAACGTTTCGCCACACAGTGGCTTCATCAGTCCAATACAAAGAGGAAGGCGTAAGGAGAGGAGTATTGGACTGATAAAGCCACTGTGTGGCGAAACGTTTCCTGAATAAAGATTTCCATATGCTGCATAAGTGTCTCAATCTTCAACTTGTCGGTTTTTCAAACCATTCATCACACCTTAACGGAATGTATGTTGTCACTATGTAACAACGACCAGGTAAGATGGAAGATAAAAGTTTTAAGATTTGAAGAGCACTTTAACCTGGAATATCACTCTCTCCTGGAAATTAAATATGAAACACAACCAAGGTAATATTAAACAAAAATATATAAACTACTACACATACATTAACATTATCACACAAAGTTAAAATAACCAGCATCAGTTAAAAATAGAAAAAAACATAATGACAATACTCAAAGACTTCTTTAATTAAGTTCCCTTAACAATGGACGGGCAAACAAGGATGATAACTGATGATTAATATACTGAAAAACTAATATATTTGCAATGTTTTTTCTGACCGAGATTTAATCCTTCTATAAACCTAAATTCTGTTAGGATGATAGATTGCAAATATCACTATATCCTTCATTCTCTCAAGCTAACGAACTATCCCAGCAAGACCTGCCACTCACTGGGATTAAAACGTTGGGGTAAAGCATCCAAACCTTTGATCAGGAGTGAAGATGTCAAGTGGCACGACTGAGTGATTTTAGATGCGAGGAGTTTTAAGAAATTGTGTTGCTGCCATTAGAGTTTCCGATTCTCTGGCGTTGATCATAAACCTGTCTTTTAATGACTCTTTGCAGTAATTTGTCTCAGTGGACATATATACTTAGGATATTCTTCTAAATGCAGAAATTACACATTTTCTTGTAGTATTTATTATTATTATTATTATTATTATTATTATTATTATTATTATTATTATTATTATTATTATTATTATTATTATTATTATTATCATCATCATCATCATCATCCATAAGGAGGTATTCACATAAAGGCATGAATTGTTAAATTACATGACAATTTATGCATAAAGAACGTTGGCGGTCTGAAAAACATTAGTAAATATTACTAAAATAATAGGCAACATAATTGACAACATACTAATAAAATATTCCACAACCTGTCAAAATCTATGGTTAGATGTTTTGATCCGTTTTGCACTATTATCAAGTCAAAATAAAGGGCAGGTCAGGTGAAGATAATAGAAAAATAAAGAGGAGGTCATGTGAAGATGATAAAAAGGTAAAGAGGCAGGTCAGGTGAAAATAGAAAGATAGAGGCAGGTCAGGTGAACATAGAAGGATAAAGAGGCAGGTCAGGTGAAGATAAAAGGATAAAGAGGCAGGTCAGGTGAAAAAAGAAAGATAAAGAGGCAGGTCAGGTGAAGATAGAAGGATAAAGAGGCAGGTCAGGTGAAGATAGAAGGATAAAGAGGCAGGTCAGGTGAAGATAGAAGGATAAAGAGGCAGGTCAGGTGAAGTAGAAGGATAAAGAGGCAGGTCAGGTGAAGATAGAAGGATAAAGAGGCAGGTCACGTGAAGATAGAAGGATAAAGAGGCAGGTCAGGTGAAAATAGAAAGATAAAGAGGCAGGTCAGGTGAACATAGAAGGATAAAGAGGCAGGTCAGGTGAAGATAGAAGGATAAAGAAGCAGGTCAGGTGAAAAAAGAAGGATAAAGAGGCAGGTTAGGTGAAAATAGAAAGATAAAGAGGCAGGTCAGGTGAAGATAGAAGGATAAAGAGGCAGGTCAGGTGAAGATAGAAGGATAAAGAGGCAGGTCAGGTGAAGATAGAAGGATAAAGAGGCAGGCCAGGTGAAGATAGAAGGATAAAGAGGCAGGTCAGGTGAAAAAAGAAAGATAAAGAGGCAGGTCAGGTGAAAATAGAAAGATAAAGAGGCAGGTCAGGTGAAGATAGAAGGATAAAGAGGCAGGTCAGGTGAAGATAGAAGGATAAAGAGGCAGGTCAGGTGAAGATAGAAGGATAAGAGGCAGGTTAGGTGTAGATAGAAGGATAAAGAGGCAGGTCAGGTGAAGATAGAAGGATAAAGAGGCAGGTCAGGTGAAGATAGAAGGATAAAGAGGCAGTCAGGTGAAGATAGAAGAATAAAGAGGCAGGTCAGGTGAAGATAGAAGGATAAAGAGGCAGGTCAGGTGAAGATAGAAGAATAAAGAGGCAGGTCAGGTGAAGATAGAAGGATAAAGAGGCAGGTCAGGTGAAGATAGAAGGATAAAGAGGCAGGTCAGGTGAAGATAGAAGGATAAAGAGGCAGGTCAGGTGAAGATAGAAGGATAAAGAGGCAGGTCAGGTGAAGATAGAAGGATAAAGAGGCAGGACAGGTGAAGATAGAAGGATAAAGAGGCAGGTCAGGTAAAGATAGAAGAATAAAGAGGCAGGTCAGATGAAGATAGAAGGATAAAGAGGCAGGTCAGGTGAAGATAGAAGGATAAAGAGGCAGGTCAGGTGAAGATAGAAGAATAAAGAGGCAGGTCAGGTGAAGATAGAAGGATAAAGAGGCAGGTCAGGTGAAGATAGAAGAATAAAGAGGCAGGTCAGGTGAAGATAGAAGGATAAAGAGGCAGGTCAAGTGAAGATAGAAGAATAAAGAGGCAGGTCAGGTGAAGATAGAAGAATAAAGAGGCAGGTCAGGTGAAGATAGAAGGATAAAGAGGCAGGTCAGGTGAAGATGTGACAAGACATAAAGAAACAGGAAAAACTGCTACAGTGCTTCACGAGTATTATTATAAATCATACGGCAGTGATTAGTTATAAAGATTGAAACTAGTGTGAAACTGGCAACATCAGACAAGTGGTAATACAAAGACTAGAGAATAAAGAGCCTATATTATTAAAGGTAAACAGCTTTAATTACCCTACTTGGCGGAGTGCTGCACCCGTCGATAATCTTCACCTGACCCACTGTATTCCCTTTTATGTATATACGAACTTGTCTTTGATTTGTTAGAGCATATGTGAACTTGTCTTTCATCTCCTAAATTCACATGAAAGTCCACTAAATGTGAACAAAACTTTATGTATCTTCATGAATAATGGATCTTCCGATTTAACCTAGTGATATAATACATCAAATGGCATACAAAAATCATAACACGGCATAATCATAGTTTTTTAGTATGGATGGATATAAATACTGCATAAACTTAAAAGTTTGTATATTTCTGCCGTGTATGACAAATATCAAAAATGTGACAAAAATTTACTAACGAAAATATTAGTCGAAAATGTGGACCAGCTGGCTATGCGAGGCTCCGGTCGGCCACTCGAGGTAAAACCCAACCAAAAAAAAATTCTATTGTTCGGATTGAGCCGAGCTCATTCTGGGAAATAGCCAGGTGTTTTAGGAATATTGTGTAGCTCAATATAGAAAATTGCAGATCCCAGTGCCTACTGAATACATCTCGCCGGCGAGGGTAATTTTCAGAATTTTCTATCAGGAATGTTCAAGATGTTGAAGACGTAGGAAGGCAAAAGTGTGTTCTGAGGTGATAACAACAATACAATAGCACTGGACTGTATATTTGTTCACTGGCTACCAGCTATACTTTTACGAATTATACGTGGTAGCTCTTTTTTTTTTAATTATTATTATAGGCATGGAGAAGTGCTAAAAACGTTAGGGGCCATACAGCACCTGGGAGATGGGAGGTGATCAGGTTGGAAGCCAAAGGTAGGGTAATTCGTATTCTTTGGGTCAAGAGCCCTTTTCGGCATTGTGGTTTAAACAGTTGGAAACCACACGCTTGTTGTTTACGATGGAGATCGGGTTGCTTAATGGGGTAAATTATTGTTAATGTATTTCAAAACAGGCGCTAAACATATATCGGTCAGAGAACAAATTGTGGTAGAGAACTGCTGCTTCACATCGGTCTCAACTCCAGCTCACTGGCCTCCTTCAGTGCCTCATACCTCCACCACTGCCTAAGACTTTATTTTAATTGGGAACGAGAATAACATGTGACTTCATAAAACCTATATATCGAATACTTCAGCCAGATCACTAGATTGTGTGCTCAGAATGCTGCAGGTATTTGCTCTCTGGATGGTATCACTTAGTCTCTGAAAAGAAAGTTGGTCGCTCGGGGTCTTTGGTTTTCTTGAAAAGCTTGTTGCCTAACTCTTTCAAGGACTTGAGTGCGCACTTGCCCCATGCTCCGAGGGTCTCCGAGTCTGTTGAAACTAAGTTGTATCTTGCTACTTGGACCTTATATTTGTGGCTCTTCCAATTCTCCCTAAAACTGGCGGCACCACCCCCTTCAGCTTCGCGTATCGGAGGTACTAAATGTTGGCCATTGTAAACGAATAAGT